GATATTAATAAAATTAATATTTTCTGATAATCTTGCCTTCAAAAACAGACATTTATTTTGCACACGGTAATATTAAAAAACACCACCAACAATTCATTGAAGATGTTAATCGAAAATTTAAACCCTCCAATTGAAAATGAGTAGTAGTCTTTGAACTTCAAAAGAACGGAAACTGACATTGACATTTATTTTCAACTCCTTTCGTTCCTTATTCTCATAAATGTATTCTTAATCAGAAAAAGAAAAAAAGTCTATCCTGTTGAGAATGTCGAACTTATGTTAACTCTCTTTGACCTCACGGAAGAGTAGAAAGCCGTAATTTAGATGCCAAAGGTGCTACTCGATATTTAACTAAATACATTGTTAAATCCTTTCATTTAAGAAAACTTTATCAAGCCCATGGATTTCAAGAAAAAGACCGAATTTTTCATTTCTTTCATAACTCTTACCAATGAGAAGAAAGAGAAGTTATTTTTATCGGCAAATACCGAATAGATGCCAAAACGGGCAAGAAGTTAAACAATAATCAGCATATTTTCCGTCGTTATAATTATGAAACCAATCAAACTACTTACTTTTACCGAACTAACCGAAAACTAGTCGGTAAACGAGTCCACCCTATCCGAACTAAAAAGCATTACCGAATTGGCAGAAATATCAATCCCCATCCTTTACTTGAACAAGTCCAAAACCATCCAACTAAACCAGTCCTAGAATTGAAATCCAATCAAAAAATCTATACCCAGGATTTTAAACAACTGGTTTATTCTAAATTATCTGCCTTGGCTGAAACCATAAGGATTGTTAAAATCCCCCTCCCAAAGAAGTATGTCCCCAAAGAGGATAATAAGTGTATTAGAGATGTTCACCATCATTTTGGTTTCAAAATAATTACTTACCTCACTTTCCCTCCCGAGAATATTCCCAAAGCCAAAGAGTTTTTAGACCAATTAGATGAACATGCTAACGAATATGGTGTTCCTGAAAGTAAAGACTGATTTGACCCTCGTTTCACTGACCCCATTAAAAGCCGAAATGCTTATTTAAATAATTGAAAGTGAGCTATCTCAGACTATCAACCCCATCCTAAACAACCCATTACTGAACTATGAATGAGAACTCCGATGACCCCCATTTAAGATTTTTGCTGAACTTAACTGATAATTTAACAATTTTTTACTAATCTATGAATAACCCGAATAAACAGAATAAAAAGACAAGGGGAATAAAAACCAAAAAGAAATCCATGTTTATGTTTATTTTACAATAGTTGAAGGAAGTGGGAATATTTTTTCGGTCTTTTTAGTTTATGTTTAGACTTGATTGTTACTATTTTTTAGTATTTACCATGTTTTTTAAACTGTAATTTTTTTGCATAGGGATTGCGATAATACACTTTCTTTTACTTCCATTGATGGGCTTATCAAAATGTCCTTTTACCTCTAAATAAGAACCTTTTTTGATTTTAGGTTTAATTCAACTTCCTGACTTTTCGAATAGTTCTAGTTCTTTCACACATTCTTCATTTCAACATCATTTTCGGTGATATTTGGTTTCCAGGGTTCTTTTACAAAAAGGACAATTATTTATTTCCATTTCATAAGTTCCAATATAATTTGGGTCTAGGAATTCCCGAAATTGATTTTTTATTTCATCTTTTATCCTGAAAAAAACTGGTATTTCACATTTTCGGCATTTTTGTTTAGCACATTCTTCACATTTTCTATGTTTAGGAGTTAAGGCTTGGCATACTTGTTTAGTGTTATGGCAATCTACACAATCTAACTTTAAAAATACTCGGGCTGGATAAGGATTAGTTGCTTTTAAGGCTTGTTGAATTTGGGAAGTGGTTATTCCTCGTAAAGTTATTAATTCTCTCTTTTGGATGTCAAGGTGAGAGAGAGGAACCCCGTTATTTTTTACTGGACTTTCTGTCATATACTTTTGGCATATAGACAAACAAAACTTAAAAAATTAATAATGCCATCAGTTAAAGTAAAAATAAATAATCTCACTGACCTGGAAAAGTTTGCTAAATTTCTTTTACCTTATTTACAGCCCAACATCTTTCTAATTTTAGAGGGAGAATTAGGAGCCGGCAAAACCACTCTAACCCAATTAATAGCCAAAAATCTAGGAATTAAGGAAAAAGTAACTTCGCCCACTTTTACTATTTTACAAAGGCACCAAATAAAAGAAAATTATTACTTAAATCATTTTGACTTTTTTCGTCTAAATATTAGTGATAATTTGGACATTTTTCAAGAATTAACATGAGATAATTTGAATATTATTGAATGAGGAGAAAAAAACCCCCAATTTTGGCAAGAAAAAAAATACATCAACCTAAAATTAGTTAAGGAAGATTCAGGAATGAGAACAGCCACCATTTTCTTTTCTCCCTCTCTCCAACCAAAAATAGGCAATTTGCAAGATAAATTAACATGAATGGAATTAATAAATTAATCAATGTTTTCAATAATAGAATCATTGGAAGAATACACCAAAAATAGGTTATCCTGGTTTCAAAAAAACTCCCTAATCCTCTAATTTTCTCCTTTATCCCCTAAAATTTTCATATGAAGTTCAAATTCAAAGTTGATTGGACGAAACTGAAAAAGTTTTTTCTCTGGCTAGTTGGCTGGTGGTCGGTCGAACTCGCTCCACCCATTAGATGCCGAATTCATAAAAGGAATGAAAAATCATTAGTCGGAAAAGCCTACTATTTTTGTGATTTAAAGAGTTGAAAAGTCAAAAGTCCACTCAAAGGGATTATTAGCAAAATTTATCCTAATTATGCCATTCAAATTACTAATGAAGAAGGATTGCAAATAATAATAGATATTCAAGTTGATAGAAAAAATCCGATGCCGCTTGATAAAATATTTCAATGCGAAGTCCAAGAAGGAGAAAAAGTTAACCAAAAAACTGTCCTTTTCCTTGTTTATCTTGAAGAACAAGTTATTAGTGTTTCCTTTTACATTCCTTGACAGCCCGAAGTTATCGGTAAAATTGGTAGTTTTCAAAAGGATGATAAAAAATGTTTTGTTAAAGTGTATTATCGCAATCCCTATGCAAAAAAATTACAGTTTAAAAAACATGGTAAATATTAAACAAAATTTCCTTTTTAATGTTTTCCTCAAGAAATAATCTAATTTAACTTCATCTAATTCTTATTAATTTATTTTATATAGTTTTGGAGGTCAAGGGTTCCCGCTTTTTATAATAAGAAAATCTAAAATTTATTAATAATGCCAAGGCAAAGAATATATTTAACTGAAGAAGATTTACGAAAAAGAAATAGAAAACATTATTTGAAATACAGAAGATACTTTAAGATTTATGGTAGACATCGTTATTTGATGAAAAAAGTAGAGGACTTAGAGAAATCTCCGAAAGATAAAATTAAAAAATTTGATGAGATGCTAGCGATGCTAAAAAAAGACATCAAAAAATCAACAAAAAGGTCAAAATAATTATTTTTTTCTAACTTTTTACTGAAAAATATGGTCATTTATTAATCTTTTTAATTTCTTAATATTATATGTCAATAGTTAATAGTAAATTATAGAGAGAAAAAAGAATAAAATGTATAAAAATAAAATATGGTAAAAATAAATCTAAAAGAATATCAAGAATGATTAGAGAAAAGAAGCTTTCCCTCGCAAACCGTTAGGAAATATAGTTGGAGTTTGCAAGAATATGGAGAAAGAGAATTAAACACTAATGAAATCATTGACTTTTTTAAAAAAAATTTGATGAAGTATGAACCCGCTAGTCTACAATTTCACCGCTGCGTTTTAATTTCTTATGCTAAGTTCAAGAAAGTAGAAATTGAGTGGGAATTAATTAACAGGATTATTCCGACAGTTCAACAAAAATTCTTTCCGACAGTTGATGAAAGCGAATTAGAATTATTAAAGAATGCTTGAACTAGAACTAAGTCAACTATCAATCAACGAAACAATTTAATATTAGACTTTTTGTTTTATACTGGCATGAGAGTTAGCGAACTAACTAACCTTCGCCATTGTGATTTTCAAGGCGGAAATTTAAGAATTCATGGTAAGGGCAATAAAATTAGGTATATTCCTCTCCCTGATTTTTTAGCGAAGCATTTTAAAGGTGGTTCTGATTACTTGTTTAAAAGTTATCGAGGTGAAAAAATAAGTGATACCTGAATTCGAGAAATTTGTTATAGGAGAACTAAAAAAGCAGGTATTGACAAACAGATTAGTCCTCATACCTTTCGCCGAAGTCTTGCTACTAATAGTAACAACAAGGAAGTGCGATTAACTACCATTCAGAAAGTATCGGGACACAGTCGATTGGATACTACTTCCAGATATATCCACAATTCTTACGAAGAAATCTACCAAGATTATAGCAAACTATGAATTTCTCCACCCCCCCCCCCCTAACATCTTTCAATTTCTTTAAAAAATAATAAATAGTCTCATGAATAAATATGAATAGAAAACTAAACAAGGAAAAAATAAAAGCAATAAAAAAATTTGAACAGGATTGTAGCAACAATAATGTAAAAACCTTTCTTTTTGAAGAAACTAATACAGGGTACGGTTTTTTAAAGGATAAAGAGACTGGAGAAATTATTCATACTTATAAGACTAGACATTCAGAACACTTGTTATTAAAACAGTTGAAAAGTTTAAAAAAAACAAATAAGAAATTTATGTGAATATCAATTGCCTTAGGATTTTTATCAATAACCTCTTATATTTTCATTGCATATTTTATAGTTAAAAGCAACAAATAGTGGTAGAATTAAAAATAGGAAAATGAATAAAAATAAAACAATAACCAGTCTCTACAACCATTTTAAAAATACTCCTAAAAAACTAAAATTAATTATGGTTGCCAGGTGCTTATAGTTCAGTGGATAGAATATTTGATTGCGGTTCAAATGGTCGGAGGTTCGATTCCTCCTAAGCACGCCAATAATAGGGACTATAGGAGGATGTTGCACTAAAAGCGAAATATAATAGAATAGATTATATTTGAAAAGAAAAATTGAATAAAACTCCCCTCGCCCTTTCATAAAAAAACAAATTAGTTAGAAATTTGTTTTCTCTTACCTCCTCGTTCTTTTTTTCATTTTGCTTTGAGTTCTTCAACTTGTTCAGGTGTGACATTTAATAACAATTTAAGTTTTCTTTCAAAGCCTTTATCTAACTTATATAGAACTTTTTGTGAGGAGGGTTTGTTATGTTCTTTATGTTGTTGAACTTTGCTCCTTTTTCTCATAACACGATTATTTAATTTGTCTTGAGATATTTTAATTTTATGGTTTTTTTTGAATGAAGTCTCACTTGCCATATCTCTATGTGTCAGTTCTAACCCCATTATATACTGCCAATACAAAAAACACTGTGAAAATTATATTATAGAAAGGTATGTTTATCACACCAAAACCTTTAACTGAACAAGATTATATTAATTGTCTTGAACAATTTAGATGGAACGGTAAGGTAGTTTCTCCTTTCGATCCTACTTCTAAAGTTTATTCTTGTGCTAATAATTGGTATAAATGTAAGAACACTGGTAGACGTTTTAATGTCAGAACTGGAACTTTTTTAAAAGGCAGTAATTTACCACTTTCAAAATGATTTAAAGCTATCGATAGGTGAGAGGAAAATAAAGGTATTTCAGTTCATCAACTAGTTAAGAAAATTAAGGTTGATATAAAGACAACTCATTTTATAATAACACGTTTGAATGGTGCTTCGGAGCGTGGTTTATTTAATATATTTGCTGAAGTAAAAAAAGATTTTAAAAAGTTAACGGGAACTGTTGAAATTGATGAAACTAGTATCTATGGCAAAAGAAAAAATAAACATTGAGATAAAAAAGAAAAAGGAAAGGATATAATAGTTTGAGGAGCAACAGAAAGAGGAAAGGATGGCAGAACCCTTGCCTTTATTGTCGATGATACCAAACGAAAAACCCTCGAGGAGTTAGTCAGAGTTTATATTGAAGAGAAAAGTGAGATTAACAGCGATGAAAATCCTAGTTATAATAATTTAGGCAAATGATACGTCCACAGAAGAGTTAACCATAGTCGGAAGCAATATGTTAATAAAGAAAATGGTGCTACTACTAATTCTATTGAGAGTTTCTGAAATTTTGTAAAAAGAACAATTGGCGGAACTCATATCCATATAAGCGAAAAGTATGCTCCTTTATATTTACACGCAATTCTTTTCCGTTATAATACTAGAAAGTGAAGTGAGGAACAAAGAATTAAATTTTTCTTGGCTTCAGCTTTAGGAAGAAGATTGACTTATGAAAGTTTGATTAATGAGTAATTATTAGAACTTCATTCTTTTCTATTAAAAACTAGGCTATTAACTGTTCTAGTGGCATCATAACACTCTTGCGAACAAAAATCATATACTTCTCATTAATATACAAGTAATTCACCGAGTTAATTGTGTTGGCAATAAAAATATAGGGTTATAAGATATAAAGTTTAAATAGTGCCTTTGGATAGGTAAATTCTTAGTTGTTGTCTTTTTTTGGGGTTTGAAATTAGTTCTAGGTATTTTCATTTTTGATTGTGGTAGAGATTACGAAGGCAAGGAGAGCAGATGTGTTTTTCCTTATCTGATTCTTGTTCGGTTCAGTATAAATTGTTCTTTTGGTAATATTGTTTATGGAATTGACTGTAGTTGATTTCAAATTTGGAATTGCAGTTGGAACAAGTAACTTGAAGAGGTAGTTTGATGTGAGTAGTCATATAATATAGGTTTTATATAATTGTTATGGAAGAGAAAAAAACTATCGAAACTTCTCTTTTTTTAATTCTTCAACCAACAATTCAGCACTTTTAAGTAGTTCATCAATTTCCTCAGTTAATTCCTTTTCTTTTTCGATATACTGACTACGGATGGATTTCTTTTGCTCAATTTGTTTTATCAAATTCTCAAGTTTTTCTTTTTTACTTATCATGACTTATGTTTACAACTTTTGGAAAATAGATTTTACTAAAAGAAATCTTACTTCTAAATTAAAATTATCAATCTTCTCTCTCCACTTTAATGTTTCTATCACTTTCTCATTCGACCTAATATTCTTATTTGTAAAATTTGATTTTCTTGTTAGGTAGACATTTCACTGCTTTTTTACTCTTGGATTCCTTACTAGTATTATTATCTTTGTAATCACTATTCCCAAAAACATTCCTCCTTCAATAACTCAATTCACTGGGAATTTGTCACTACCCAACTGGAGTTGAGAATTTTGTTCATTTCTCCTTTTGAATTTCTCTAATTTCATTCGTAACTCTAATTGTTTTTCGGAACTGTTTATACCTTCACTTCTTTTTAACAATTCTATTTCTGTTTTTAATTTCTTTATTTCAACAACTAACCGCTTATAGGTTCAGTTTTTGTAATTTTCGTTATCCTTATCTTTTGGAGTATGCTGCTTATTATCGTTTTCATTATTTTTTTTAATTTGTTCTAATTCTTTCTCTCTTTCTGCAATTTTTTTCTGATTTTCTGCTTGTTGTTGAGGATTCTCAACTTTGCTGTTTTTTAACTTTATTATTTCTTCTTCTAAATTAAGGATTTTTAATTTTTTATTAATCTTTTTAAGTAAATCTTCTTCAAAAGAAGTTAAATAAATAATTCCTTCCATTTCTTCCAATGCTTTTTTACAACCTTCTAACTGATGCTCATCTAATTCTTTTGATTTATCTCCTGAACTTTCTTCTTCTTTTATCAGATAATAGCAGTAATCTATTGTAGAAAAATGAGGTGTCAACTTATCTCGGATAGTCTGTAATTCATTTTTAGCATCTTGTAAATTATTATCCAAACCAATTTCTTTTTCAATTTTTTCAAGCATATGGAACAGTCTCGTTGATTCGATTCGAGTGTATTTTTTTCCTTTTTGGTAAATTTAATAAAATTTATTTTTTAAATCATTAAGTTCTTTATCACTTTTGGGGTCTGTTTTTTTTCTTTCTTCTTCAACTTGTTCTTTAAATTCTTGCTCTTTTTGCTGAATTTCTTCCTCTTGCATTTTTCTTTTGGTTTATGTCTGTATTTTTTGTTGTTCTTGTTTAATTCTTTCTTCTTCCTGTTTTTTGATTTTCTCTTTCTCTGCCTCAGAAACTTTTTGTCAAGTATTAGCGAGGTTTTCTAAATAGGTAAGGTGCCTTTCTTCTTCTGCTTTCAGTTGTTGGTTATTGAGACAGTTTATTATGTTATCTTCAAATACATAATCTTTATTGATTTTATCTTTGTAATTTATTTGTTGAACCTTTTGCTTAATTGTTTCAATCACTTGCTTTTTTTCTTTTTTAAATCGCTCTCCTTGTTTTGTGATAATTAACTCTAACTGATTTTCGAATTCCTTAATTTTTTCTTCAGAGACTAAACAAAGGATAGCATGAAAAAAATACCAGCGATTAGTCTCATTTTCAGGAGAGAGAGTTCCTCAACATTTACAATTATGAGGACGTAGATTACGCCACTCACTATTTAGTGTATCGGCACCTAGTTCTTTACGATCAATTTTTCAAAAGTAAAGTTTTTCGCGAATGCGGGAACTAAATTCTAAACCGGGAAATTTGTGTTTTGGCATGGCAAAATTATTTGTCTATCGTATGTTGGTGAGTCTTTCTTATAATTTCTTTTCCTTTGTTTCAAAAAGCAATGCTCTTCAAGGGATAATAATAATGTTTATGATTCGTTCCCCCTATTTCTTCACTAAATTTTCCTGCTGGAACAAAACACATTACTGGACTTCGGAAACCACCAGAATCACTAAAAACTATCTCGATAGAATGATTAATTTTTTCGTTGACAGTGTGAATTTCTCATGATGAAAAAAATTGCTCTGAAGAATCAAAAAAAGGGATATAAAAAGGGGCTTCGAATCACTTATCCCATCCAGAAAGTTCTTCTTGAAGTTTTTTTTTGACTTGAACCAATTCAACTGCCATTTTTTTTCTATCCTCGAGTGCTTCATCTAATTGGTCTTGCAAACTATTTTTTTCCTCTATCTCCTTATCTATT